GTAGCATTTCACGATATCTACCCTGTAAGCAAAACAAGAGGAAATTTCAAATAGCCTAAGGTTACAACCCAGTATACCATTTGGTTATATATAACACCCCCTTATCATGGAGAGTCATTGTGTGTGTGTGTGTGTGTGTGTGTGTGTGTGTGTGTGTGTGTACGTGGGGGGGGGGTTGCTTGGGCTCAACATTGCCTGGGAGAGGTGACCTGGGGCTCAGATTTGAGCACCCCATACCACAGGCCTGCAGGTTTGCCCTGTGCATGTGTGTTCCCCACCTGGAGTGTGCAGAGCTAGCGGCTGCCTTCTACAAGTACCTGCAGGAGGGACGCAGTGTGCACTTTGGGGAATTCCTCAATTCCACATGCAAGCACCTGGTGAGATGGGGGCTTGTGATGAACCCTGCATGGGGTGGGCTGAGTGCCTGGACCCCCTAACTCTAGCTTTCTACAGATGCACCACTTCCCTGACCTGCTGGGCCGTCTGGTGAGCACCACCTTGTTTTACTTCAAGAGTAGCTGGGATGATGTTCGAGCCGCTGCCCCCATGTTCACAGGTAAGCAGACCCTTTCCCAGCTCACCCCCACCCCCACCCCCACTGTGTACATAAGCATAGCCAACCCCACTTGCTGCAGGGTTCCTGTTGCTGCACGCAGAGACCAAGCAGAGGCCACAGGTGGACCTGGAACAGCTCATTGCAGGTGAGCACACCCCCAAGCCCAGGAAACATAGTTCCCCTATACCACCCCAAACTGCCCATTTCTATTGAGGCTCTGCTGACCCTCTGGGCACCAGCAGGGACTAAGTGATTTTCCTGGATTTCAAGATTTTTTTTTTCCCCTGTCACTGGTGACCTCATCGTCTCTACTAATTCACGGAAACTTCTTAACTGTTCCAAAAGAGCTTAAAAAACACTAAAAAAGGAAAAACTATCTTTCCGTTGGCTCCTGAGCCCTCCCAGCAGAGCCCTGTCTGTAGGAAGGTGGTGGGCGGCCCCACGCACAGGCCCAGGCATGTGCACTACTGGTCTGTTCTGCCCACAGCCCTGCAGCTACTCCTGAAGGACCCAGTGCCTGGGGTGAGGGAAAAGGCTGCTGAGACACTGGGCCGTCTGGTGAAGTTTGCCTGAGGCTGGCTGCACTCCCAGAAGCGATATACCAGCCCGTCCTGCCTGGAAGAACCTCTGCTGCCAGATAGGGCCAAGACTGTGTGCCACAATCTATTGCCTAATAAAGCCATACACCCCTCAGTAGGTTAACAGTGTACAGTAATATAGCCTTCTGGCTAAAGCTAGAAGGGAACCCTGAGAATCCCTGGCTTGGGGTACCATGTACTATCACACAACCTTGGGAAAGTTCAATAAGGTAAAGCCTACCCAGTGCTATATAGGGCAGCTGTCAGGAGCCCCAATCAAAAAGACTCAAAAGGAAAGTGTTGGGTGAGGAAGGTTTCTATTGAAGACTGCATACGCACACCACCCTGCTCCAGGCCATTCACAGCCGTGCAGCAGCCTAGCTGAAGAGTCGGATGGTACTGTCTGCTCCGGAGGAGAAGATCCATGGCTGCGTAGGATGGAAGGCCACATCCAGAACACCCAGGTCTCGGGTCAGTGTGTGCCCTTTAAGCACCTTGACTGGTACCAGCAGTGGATTCTGCAGCAGGTCGCTGTGGAGAAAAGGGGCTCAGGACCTGGTGGGATAACCCCATGGGAAGGACTGGGCAGGGATCAGCTTGTACTCACTTGTACACCATGCCATGGCAGACAATGACAGTGCCGTCATCTGAGCCGGATGCAAAGAGCGGGTATCTGGGGTGGAAGGCCACAGCCCGCAGGGCCTTCTTGTGGTGCCTGGGGAGGACTGGTTTCACAGCATGCTCAGGCTGAATGGACCCCAATACCCACCCCACTCCACCCTACCCCACCTCACCTCAACACTTTGTATGGCTTGGTGGAAAGATCTAGGTCAAACCACACCAGTTTGCTGTCATAGCTGCCACAGATGATATTGTCACCTAGGGCCAGACGCAGTGATGACTGTTCTCATCTGACTTACAGGGTACATGCCACCTTTAACTTAACTTGCAGAGTGGGTACATGTTCCCCTTACCTGCTGGGTGCACAGCCAGGCTAGATACCCACTTGCAGTTGGGCATCAGTTTCTTGGTAAGCTCCTGGCGCAGCAGGTGGTAAATTCGGACACTGCGCTGAGAGGCCACAAGCAGGAAGGGCCGGGTAGGATGGAATGCCACACGCTGCACCTGTCCGTGGCTGCGGCGGAATGGGCTCTGGCTGCGCCGCCTGCTCAGTTGGTGGATCAGTACCTGGGTGTGTCCTGGGCTGGCCAGCACCACAGCCAAATAGTCTCCTCGCCCATGCCAGGTCACCTGTATCACTGGCTACAAAATAATACTGACTGATTGGCTGACCAGGTTTCACTCTCCCCTTCCCTTCTGTCACACACCTTGCTATGGCAGATGCGTAGTCGCAGGCCCCTCTGGCGTTCTTCCTCCGAGGCTTCCAGCCAGCGAGCAGGCTGCAGGGTTGGCTCCTCAGGTGGCATGAAGGCATCCAGCAGTTGGTCTGTGCTGCCCACCAACAGCCGGTCCCCCAAGGCTGGGTTTAGTAGCAGCACTGCATCATCCCTACAAGCAAGGACCAGACACAGCCCCTCAGCAGTGGGCTGGCTCCTCTGTCCCATCCAGCCCTAATAAGCCTCAGGTCCTACACTCACATGGATGCAGCTACTAGGCATATGGCAGGGTTGGGGTTCCAGGCAATGCTCCGTACCACACCTCCCACAGGCACAGTCCTCATACAGCGGGCAGTGGATACTTCCCAGAACCTTAGTGAGCCATCGTCTGAGCCTGGATGTGACAGGGATAACCCTCAGCACCTGACCCTCCAGTCCAGATCCCTGTCTCTCAACTCTGGGCAGCTCCCACCTCAGGCCCACCTGAAGCCAGCCACTGGCCCCCTGGGGAGACACTGAGGCAGCGGACAAGGTCACTGTGTCCCCTGTAGACCTGTAGAAAAGGAGGATTGAGAAGACCATCCCCAGGGCACTTGCTTGCTGTCTGATTCTCCACTTACCAAAGCCTGGCACACAGGGAATGGCTGTAGGTCCCTTGGCAAAGGAAGTTTGGGGATGAGGTCTTCAGGATCCACATTCACCTGAGGCAGGGAAGCATTTGGTCACTCCCTACCTACCCCTCATCCTGCACTCCCCACCCCCCCAGACCTGTATGGGCTGCCTCACGTACCCTCATCTTGCGCTGCCGTGGGCACAGATACAAATCAAGACAGCGCTCAAAACGCTCCTGGATGAAGCGACCATAAGCAGGCACTGCCCTCAGGCTCAGGAACTTCCGTGGTAGGAAGTTAAGCTTCCTCTCACCAGGCTCCTGCTGCATCCATGCCAAACGCTGCAGAAACAGGACAGGTGAGAAGAAACCAGGGAACCTGGCTGGGGCCCCGTACCCACCTCAGTGCAGGCCCACCTCCTCCTCAGTGGGCAGATACTCAGGAGGTGGGTTGTAGGATTCAGAATGGCCAGGCAGGGCCAGCTTGGGTGCAGGCACATGCATCTTGTGGCGCCCCAGCACGGCGTTGGGATCCTCCTGGGCCCATAGGTCATAGAAGCTAGGGCTGGTGTCTCTGGGCCTTCGAGGCTGAATCCAGCCCATCTTAATGGCATGTACCATGCGAGACACCTGCCAACAAAGGTGAAGTCAGGCAGCAAGCACAAGGATCTAGTTCTGGAGGGAGTGTGGGGAGGGCAGGTCCTACCTTCTCCTTCTCCACCAAGGATGGAATAAAGCTGCGCTTGTCAGCTGGGCGGTTGGTCACAGGATGGATCATGATGTTGCCACTGAAGAAGTCTATGGCTGGCTGGGGTGACAAGCACGTCTGTTAAGTTGGGGCCTTGCACACGCTTCAGACCCCAGGGCCAGTTGTTGCTACCTACCTCATATGGGTTGAAGCTTTCATCTCCAAACTGGCCCTTCTGCAGCCTCTGCACTAGGGCCACCTGCTCATCAGTCAGCCGTAGGTCATGTCCTGTCATCTTGTCTTGCACTGTACGCCTGGGGGTCAGTCAGTCAGAGCCATGTTCCAGCCCTGTGGAACCACAGGTCCTGACCCAGGGCCCAACTCACCAGTAATCTGGATCATCCATTTTGTCCAGAAACTGGTCCAGTTCATCCCGTGTCCGCAGGGGTTTGTAGATGCGTTTCCCATCCAGATCATAGCCCACATGTGGGAAGTCATCATACCATGCCAGGGGCACATTGCCCACAGTGTTCCGGATGTCCTGCAGTATAGCCACCACATCAGCACCTGTCCCTACCATGTCTGATCCCCTTCAAGTCAACCAAGAGCAGAGGAAAGCAAAGAGACTAGCCTCAAGTGCCCAGAGGCCAACTGACCCAACATGTGCCCTAGCCTTGGCCCTGGGGTCTGACGTGGCATAGTGGCAGTACAGTGCCCCCCTCCCCCAAAGCCCTTTGAGGCGCCAGAGCTTTACCTTCACATTTTCCACTGAAGTGATGCCAACCCTAGTCTCCCCCCTCATCCCCCCTCATTGGATTCCTTGGCCAGGGCTCTGGGCAGCCACAGACAGGGATGACCTCATTGCCCATGGGCTCTTTCCCCTGGCAGGGACCTTAGGCAGAAGTGGGTAGCTATGAGACAGAAACCATGGGGAGACCCCACCCATAGGGAGCCAAGCACCCTGCATTCTGCTAGGCAGGTGGCCAAGGACCCCCTTCTAGCCCCACTGGTCTTTCCCCTCCCACTTCAGTGGGCAGAACAGCTACATTCCTGGACACACATTCCTGGTTTCAACCCCTGCCAACCACCACCCTCACTCCTCCCAGCCTGGGGACTGCTGCCCAGGCAGCCACTTCCTGCAACAGTAGCCACAGAGAGGAGGGGCCCAGACATAACTATCACAGCTGGATGCCAGGAGCCCTTCTACAGGACCCCTTGGGCCCTGGCCTTCTGCACCTGCCCACGTCAGCCCCTTCCAACAGGCTTATCATCCCCAGGAACTCCCACTGTGCCCTTGTGCTCTCTCCACCTAGGGGACCACCTCCAAACTGAGGAATGGGGAAGAACTGATCTTATCCATGTATGCACTAGCCTTGAAGAGTCCCATGGAACCCACAGTGTGTGTGGGGGGTGGGGTTCCAGGGGAGCAGGAGTGGATGGCTCAGTGGGTCCTGGCATAGCTTGTGCCGGATCTGGAGGGGAAGGTGCAGGGCAGGCAGGTCACGCCACCCCCACACACCCATCTCCATATCACCACTGCTGGAGCAGATTTCCAATCCCTCCACACTCCTCTGTCGCCCCAACCCCCAATGGCCTGGCACAAAAGGCATAAGTGCACATGGAAAGAAAGACAGACAGGGTGCGGCTAGGCACCCAAGGCCAGGGCAGCTGGGTGAACTTAGGAATGCCAGAAGACAGTCTCTTGGTTCCTGCTTTACCCTCCTCTTCCCTGAAGACTGGGCCAGGCGCCGCGGTCTTGGGACCCTAGTAACACCCCAGAAACTTCCTGTTCCCCAGAAAGATGCTCAGGACCCCAGGCGCTGCTACAGAAAAGCAAAAGGTGTGCCTGCTCTGCTGAGACTCAGCTCAAACTCCTGCAGGCTGAGAAGGGAGGCGGTGGCCTGGCGCGGGGGAGGGGCCGTCTGCTATAAAGGCAGGGCTCAGAGCCCCGGATTCAGCCCCAACGCACGTGTGCGCCGCGCCGACCAGCCGCCACCGCGGGGCGCAGAGGAGACTCGAACCAGCCCTGACCCGGTGGCCCGCGGAGGCCCAAAGAAGCGGCATGAGCAGCGCACGGCGGAGCTGACGCCGCGCCCCCTGCCCGGCCCACGTCCTTCACCATGCTCCGCTCCGCGCCACCGGGCCGCTACCTGTACCCCGAGGTGAGCCCGCTGTCGGAGGATGAGGACCACGGAAGCGAGAGCTCGGGCTCCGACGAGAAGCCCTGCCGCGTGCACGCAGCACGCTGCGGCCTCCAGGGCACCCAGCGGCGGGCGGGAGGACGGCGGGCCGCGGGCAGCGGGCCGGGACCTGGGGGGCGGCCAGGCCGCGAGCCCCGGCAGCGGCACACTGCGAATGCACGCGAACGGGACCGCACCAACAGCGTGAACACAGCCTTTACCGCGCTGCGCACGCTCATCCCCACCGAGCCGGCTGACCGCAAGCTCTCCAAGATTGAGACTCTGCGCCTGGCCTCCAGCTACATCTCTCACCTGGGCAACGTGCTGCTGGTGGGCGAGGCCTGCGGAGACGGGCAGCCGTGCCACTCTGGACCCGCCTTCTTCCACAGCAGTAGTGCTGGCAGCCCGCCGCCGCCGCCGCCGCCACCACCACCGCCGCCACCGCCACCGCCTCTGGCTCGCGATGGTGGCGAGAACACCCAGCCCAAACAGATCTGCACCTTCTGCCTCAGCAACCAGAGAAAGTTGGTGAGCAGGACCGAGGGCACCCAGGGGCCCCAACTTACCCATCAGCTCACACCTGCCAGGCAGAGAGGGCCGGGCAGGGGCAGCACTCCTCAGCATCAGCAGATAGGGCCACCTGCCACCAAAGTTGGGTCCAAAGGAGGGACAGACACATGGAAACCACACCTTGGGAGATCAAGGCTGGGCCTTGTCTTGGGACCTCTCCCCAGGGCCTCCTGCGGCATTGGTTCTCACTGGCCTTGGTCATACAGACCGGCAAATACGGGGTCAAGAAGTGGGGCCAACAAGAAGGGACCCCCCCCAGAGCAAAGGTCTGGGGAATGGAGGGCAGCAGGAACCTGGCATACTGTGGGGCTGTTCCAGTTAGTACTACCCAGCAAGTTATAAGTTTAAGGGAGCTGAGTTCAGTCAGCCCACCCCACTGCCCTTATGCAAAGGGGAAGAGCTAGTGGTAGTGAGGCAAAGAGGAACCCCTTAGGCCCCTGTAAGCCTACCTCCACCCTAAGGCTTATGGGGCACCTGCTGCCCCTCCCCTGGCCTGCTGCAGCTGACAGCAGATGGGTTAGGAGAGAAGGCTGGACTATAGGAAATGCTGGCCAACCATGATTTACAGCTCTGGCCGTGCTTGGTGGCACCGGAAAAGCAGGGTGAGCAGGGAAAAAATACAACGACTTTCCCCAATCCCCATTTCCTCTCCAGACAGCAAGGGCGAGCTCCTGGGGCCTGAACATCTGGGAAATTTAATTTTACAGTTTTGGCTGTGCAGCAGTGTATTCCCCTCCCCAAAATGCATTGGGGGGGGGGCAGGAGCCCAGGAGGCAGGGTGCCCTAGCACTGGCCACCTGAGACAGCACCCAACAGGAAGCCAGGGAGGTTGGGCCAGTGCTAGGTGACACTAGGTCTCTGCCCTGGCCCTGACACTGCCCCCTCCCCCATCCCCTCCGCAGAGCAAAGACCGGGACAGAAAGACGGCGATTCGAAGTTAGGAGGAAGAGGGTCCACAGCAGCCGAAAGGTGATGCCACTAGGAAAGGTGGATGCCCCTGGAGTCACGGAAAGCCCCACCTTGAAGCTGACCTGGACCACAGGTCCCTGGAGAGCACACTCACCAGGCCAAACCACCCTGGTTGTAAGCAGGGTCTATGGACAGACAGATGGCCAGGAAGGGCTATGGCTTGACTCTAGCCCAGCACTTACCTAAGTAGCCCAGGCCCACTGGAACTTTCCATGCTAGCTCCCTACCTGGGCCAAGTGTTGGCATTTTGTTTTTCATATGATAATATAAAGTCTGGAAATTTTGTATAATTAAAAATCAAACAGTATCTTTCTTTTTTCCGTTTTTTGAGACAGAGTCTCCCTGTAGCCCCAGCCGTCGTCCTGGAACTCACTATGTAGACCAGACTGGCCTTGAACTCACAGAGCTCCACCTGCCTCTGCCTCCAAGTGCTGGGATTAAAGGTATGAGCCACCATGCCCGGCGAAACAGTATCTTTCGAATAGAGGCAGATTGTCCTCTTGAAAGGACCATGATCCCACTCTGCCATTCTGGAGCCTCATCTTCCCTTGGTGTAGTACAAGGAGGAAATGGGCGTAAGTCATCCACGAAGAGCAAGGGACCTGTGGTTGGGGGCTAAAGGGACAGGCCAAGGGAAAGGGTAGAGGATATTTCTGTGTGGTGAGGAGGAGGTAAGGGGGTAAGTTCACTGCCCATGGTGGGGGGAGCAAAAACAGCCTTGCCCCTTCCCAAGACCCCTAGATGGGGAGGCGAACCAGATGGGGTCTTGGGCACATGGACATGTGACTGGCTCTACCAGTAGCACTCCATTAAGTGGATACAGGAAATGAGTAGGTAGTGTGGCCCAGCCACACAGACTCCTAGGACTAGATGGGCCTGAGGATACCATCTGGGTAGCAGCCACCTGAGTGTTCCCATGGGTGCCCACTGATGTGTATAGTCCACTGTCTCCCAGGGCCTCTGCTTCCCTGCTTCCACCAACAGTATCAACTGTATCTCATCCCACCCCCAATGCACACTGGAAGGACTCCTGACTGCCCACCACCAGTATCCCACTCAACTCTTCCAAAAATCCCATTGGCCCCTGAGGAGGTCCATTTAGGCCTTGCCAGGTACTGTGCACAGCTGGCTGACCATTAAAATCCTGCAGGTGACAATTAGTTGAATGGTACAAAAAGAATAAAGGCTGGGCCTAACTTCTGGCCGGGTGGTGGGTGGGGAGTAACAGAGGCACCAGGTGTTGGTGCTGGCAGGCCCTAGGACCCTCCTGGGGAGAGACCAGATGTGGCGGCCTATGAGGGCATCCTCAAAGGGCAGGGACAATGTGGTCCCTCCCTGTACTGGAACACTGGTACAGGAAACACTGGTGTAATATGGGGGGAAATTCTGAAAGGCAGAGCCATTAAGGCTGAGGTGGTAGGGAGCTGTGTCCAATCTGATAGAAATATAACAGGATAAAGAGTCACAGCGGCAGGTTTCATTCAGAGAAATTCAACCCCAAATTTCCTTCCCTTAATCCTGTAGAAGCCCACAGCTGGCCAGAGGGAGGGGGAGAGGGCATACTCAGTCGCTGCAGAGGCCTCTACAACCCAGGAAGCCAAGACCTGGGGGATGCGGGGCG